AGAGGAAAATTATATCGATTTAAATACAAATGAGCATTAGAAACTGTAACTTGATGTTCCAGGCATCTATTTTGCACATTTAACCATTCACCATTAAATTAATTTGTTATAAATCTTTTTGGAACATGTTGTAAAAAATAGGTACGATTTAGACAACCGCTTGCCTAAATCGTACTTCTTTTGAAAGTATCATGTTATAAAATATACATAATATATGACATGTGTCATGTAAGAACAAATTCAGTCATCTTTTTGTACTATTTTTATATGTAACATATTATGCTATATGTTATATACGTATAAAAATTTTATATGGTACAAAGAAATGATAAATATTTATTTTAACCATGACACATCACCGATTTCAATGCCTTTTTGATATGTTGCAGCGAAGAGTGTCCTGAGTGATTCCATAAGAATTAAGTGGGGGACGACATTGGTTTAGAAGATATAGTAAATAAAAGTTTCATAATAAAGTCATAGAATACTACTTTCCACGCGAAGCGATTTTCATCTCACCTCTCTCCTGCCAAGGGGCTCGCTACTTCCACGCGAAACAACTACCATTCCACCTCCCCCCCTGTTTAGGAGTGTACGACTTCCACGCAAAGCGACTTTCACCTCACCTCCCTCTTGTTTAGGAGCGCACGGCTTCCACGCGAAACGACATTCATCCCACCTCCTCCCTGCTTCGGGGCGTGTGACTTTCCAAAGAAATATGGTAAATCTCGGAAAGTTGTGTACTACTAAATTTTACTGCATGTATTACGAAATTTCACTCCGTAAAATCTATTCTCGGGCATTCTAAATCTGCGAATAGTTTTAATCAGATTATTAAGGTAAAATAAATAGCGTTTCCGGTTTTGTCTATTATTATAAAATTTATATTTATTTGATATAGTTTTATAAATTAATAATTCTTATACGAGGGTCGTTTGAAAAGTTTTGAGCCTAACATAGAAACAAGAAATTTTTCAGTCAAATTCAATTTTATTTTTCCACACAGTCTCCTTTTAAGTCGATACATTTTTTCCAACGATGCTTCCACCCCTTTAATCCATTCAAATAATACTGAGGGTCTTGCTTTGCAAAATAAGCGTCTACGGATACGACGACCTCCTCGTTCGATGAAAATTTCTGTCCTGCGAGCCAAACTTTGAGCCTAGGAAACAGAAAAAAGTCGCTGGGGACCAGATCTGGTAAATACGGTGGATGGTCAATTAATTCGAACCGCAATTCGTGAATTTTTGCCATAGCGACCGCTGAAGTGTGAGACGGTGCGTTATCTTGATGGAACAGTACTTTCTTCTTTTTCAAATGCGGTCGTTTTTTCTCAATTTCTGCCTTCAGCTTGTCAAGCAATGATGCGTAGTACGTCCCTGTTATTGTTTTACCTTTTTCAAGATAGTCGATCAACACAATTCCATGACTATCCCAAAAAACAGTCGCCATCACCTTTCCAGCCGATAAAACCGTCTTCGCTTTCTTCGCAGCAGGATCACCCTTCGCAGTCCACTGTTTTGATTGTTCTTTCGTTTCAGAAGTGAAGTGGTGGATCCAAGTTTCATCAACCGTTATTAATCGACGCAAAAAATCCGACTCGTTTCGCTTAAACCGCTCCAACAGGGCCTTAGAAATGTTCATTCGAATGCGTTTTTGATCCAGAGTGAGCAAGCGCGGCACCCAACGCGCGGTTAATTTACACATGCCTAATTCTTCAGTCAATATATGACAAACACGTTCTTTTGATATGCCATCAGCCTCTGCTATCTCCCTAATCTTAATTCGACGGTTGTCCATTATCATTTGACGAATTTCTTCGATGTTATCGGTGGTGGTCGCAGTTATTGGCCGTCCCGAATGCTCATCATCAGCCAAGCTGGTACGATCACGTTTAAATTCAGCTACCCAACTTTTCACGGTGGCAAATGATGGGGCAGAGTCCCCGTAAACAGCGTCCAACTCGGCTTTAATTTGCGTAGACGTATTGCCTTTCAAATGCAAGAATTTAATTATAGCACGATATTCAATTTTTGTCATTTTTACAAAATGACGACACAAATGATTGTCAAACAAGAACTGAACGTTCAAAGTGCCCACAATTGTCACAGATATCTTTCGTAAGTATCACGATTACAATACCAGAATGGCTTTGACGAGTAACGCCATCTTCATGGTGAGGCTCAAAACTTTTCAGACGACTCTCGTACATATGTATATTGCTGCCTTTTTACCAAAAGGGCATAGCGGAATAAGCATGTAAAATCTGTCCCAGCACCAATTGAGCTCAAATTGGTATCATTAGTTGGCAATCCTGAGATGTAAAACTTCCCCAAAATATTAGCCTCAAAATTGCATTTTTTGGGGAGTTATAGAGGGGGAAAGCGAAATAAAAAAGTGATTTTCTTCGTAAACGACTGTATCGATTTTAATGAAAAAAATATATATTGTAAACATCGTTTAGATAATATGAAAAAAATTTTTTGAAATTTTTACGATGAAAACAAAACCATTAAAAAAATTTTTGAATTCTTTATGAATTTTTTTTGGTGATATATTTGAGTGACAATTTTTATACTTCACAAAAATAATCTGTAGACTCTCTACTTTAACATATATTTTTTTTAAATTGATCGGAATGGTGAAACATGGTTAAAAAAACAATCGCGCAACGCCGTGCCGACTGGGCGACCGCGGCCCCGGCGCGCTGCGGCGGCTATTGTCATGGTACTATATATTAACCTTGTTGCAATGTTGCAATATTTCAATTGGCAAGTAAATTGAGATAGAGACAAAGATTTTATTATTAGCTACACATTTATTCAGTGAACATTTTAATATAATAATATATGTATAATATTACATATTTCCATTAAGGACGTCTGCAATTAGCCTATAAAACTTACAGTTCCCGGTGTTTACCACGAGGAGGTTGTACTACGTTTTTAAACTCCATATTCTCGGGGTGCTTTTTTAACGTGAGTCCCCTCGCCTCTCACGTTATGCATTTATCATCGGAGTGCTTTTTTAACGTGAGTCCCTTCGCCTCTCACGTTATGTATTTATTAACAAAACTCTCACATTAACAGAAGAGAATTAACTAATTTTTAATCATCGTCACTATCACTTTCAATAATTGGAATGGAATTATCTTTTTTAAATATATCGCTGATTAAATATATTTCTGATTGAGACTGAAGAAAAAGGATGGTTTCGCCGAAAACTCCTTTTCAAAAATATTACATGTAATGATCTTTTGGATTTTCCAAAAATGACAGAAGCAGACATGAAGATTTTCTTTACCGGTTCGTATCAACTCTTTCAAGCCATGTCGTATTTGGTAGAGATGGTAGATAAAAATAGTAAATTAAATATAGAATATGTCAAGGATGAGAAAAA